AGGTGCCGCAGCCAGCAAGCCAGTGGCTGTCCTGCTGCCTCCAGAAGTCGGTGTCCATTTTAGCCATCCTTGATGCCTTTTTTACCTACAAAGCTCAGTCAGAAGCTACTGGGAACACGTGTGGGATAAACACAAGACAAAATGGAAGCTGTTGTCCAAAGACTCCCAGCACTGTTTATGTTGGGAAACTGCTGGAAGTGCTTCACAACTAGTAGTTTCTCTTTAAATTGCAAGGGTAAACAAACACATTTGCATGCATAAGGAAGAAAAGGAAAATTGAAATTAAGTCCCACGATACTTGTGTGAGTGGCAGATTTTACAAGACTCTCATGAAAGCTGGATCACCTGCAGCCCGAACTCCTCTGTTGTCACTTCACTCGGCCGCACCGCAGAGTGAAATGGCCTCACAGAATGGAGATACTGCTCTCACCAGGGTAAAACCGCAGCCGCTCTCGCACAGAGAAACTTGGGAACACCGAGAACAGGAACAAAGGCTCTTTTCACAGGGCCTGCCGCTGCAACATGCTGACTTAATAGCAGAAACGCTCCTCAAAGGAACAAAATGCAGTTTGCGGCCAAAGACTTCCACGTACACTTTTTCTGATGCCTGCACGGGGGATAACACGATTGCAGGCGTGCCTGGGATGAAGATGCCATCATGAACTGAACAGCTCTGTGTGCCTGCAGCAGAAGGGCTGCGAGAAGAAGACAGATAACTGCGTCAGGTGAGGGGTGGTCTCACGCCAAAGAAGGAGGTGACTCTCATGGGGGGCAGCAGAGCCTTCTACTCTACTGGTGCCAACCATCAGCTCAGAGGAGAAGGCTCGCAGAGCCCACCAGGAATGAAAACTGTCCTCTGGGTTCAAAAACTCGCTGAGTACTGAGGCCCAGAGGGGAGAGGTATCTTCTACTCCCTAGCGCACTCACCTTCAACCTGTCCTCTGTGAATGCTTGGGGGTCTGTAAGCTACACCACCAGGGACTCCCAAAAACTGTTAACGAGCAAATGAATTTTGGGGGTCTGCATACTATAACAAGCTGTAAAGCATGAATCTACCAATGTACCCTTATCTCACAGAACTGGCCACACCTGTGAAAAACAAGCAAGCAAAATCAGTTTTCAGCTGGTGGCTAAGCTGAAAATAAAATGAAATGTTGTTTCTGGTCCATCAAAAATTGTTTTGTTTCTTTTTTTAGACCAATGCAAGTTGGAAATAGGCAAACCCCAAGTGCTCCACTTTGGAAATGTCCTAACAAAACCATGGGCTGAGAATAACTTGACATATTACTTCTTTAGGATAAAACTCCATCTGCACTGTGAGGGTAGTGAAGCAACACAGCCATAAAGCATGAAGACAGATACAGTGATGGCTGGAGGGATACCACCTCCCTGCCATCTTTTGGAAGATAAGGAAAATGAGACTCAAATCCCAGCCACAGCACTTTATGTTATTTATTTTAAGACTATTCCTGCAGCATGAAGTGAATAGACCAGTCCTGAAGCACAGGAACACAGAGAGGCGGCCAGATGCGCTCGGTACCTGCTCCCTGGCAGCAGCTGACAAGAGCTGCCACCGCAGAGAGACCGCAGCCCCGCAGAAAGCAGATAGGTAGTGGCTTTAGCCTGGCCTCAACTTCCTCCTAATCCCTTACAGCCAGAGATCAGCCGAAACGCTAACACACAACATTCAATACTTCTTCCCAAGTGCTTCAGGACTCTGCACGTTCCTGCTATCTACATAAGTGCACAGTCTATTAGAAGTATTATTTTGCTTACTTCTACTAAGTTCATGAACTGAATGACTCCGTGCAATAACGAATTCCCACCCAAGGTTTGTTTTTTGTGCCTTGTCCTAAAAGGTCACATTCTGTGGTCCAGAATTCATCCAATGCTGCATTAGAGGAAAAATCTCAATGTGGATAAATGTTAAAGAACCAAAACAAAACTGAGCTGCTCAACTGCAGAGCACAGGAAGTGAAACAAGCCCCACACAGGCAGTTGTGAGAAAGCAAAATAAAAACCACTTATCTGCAATGGAAAATACCGAAGTGCTTTCAGAGCGGCAGCCTCTTTCTCCTGAACAGAAATCCCAGATAAGCCCTGGCTAGGGCGTCCTTTCTGAGCAACTCCGTGGTTCGCTTGCTTATTCAGGACTCAGTCACCATGATGGCATAAGCTCTCATTGGTTTTTTTATGATTAACCCTAATTTAACATTTCCTTAATGACAGTGTGTGAGCCAGCTGACAGACAATAAGGACCAAGTCTTTACCCTTGGATCTATTCGCTTTGCCTTCTCCTTTGTGCTCTGAAAGGCCGAGATAGGAAGGCCTTGGAGGTACCTTGGCGGTGCAGCACATAGGGGAACGGACACAAAGGCAAAAAGAGGTGAACCCAAGAACTCCAACAAAGAAATCGACAAATCCCTGAGCATCAGGTGTGTCTTCTGGCTCCTGTAGCAGCAACTCAGGCTTCCCCTTCAGTTCAAGAAAGGGAGTTAGCAGAAATGCTGCGTCGGGAATCCTTCCCTTGACTCCCCCACTCCTTTCACACACGTTTTGCTATCTAACAGGCAGGCGATTAGTATATGCCAGCAGGTTACACATTTCCAGTACTTAAGCTGGACACGTCTCGGGGTGGAACAAGCACCCTGCAGGGTCGCTGACCTGCGGCACTGGGTGGGACAGACCTAACTGAACTGAGCAGGAGGAAACCACGGCCATCACCCTCCCCACCCGCTGCTGCCGCCAAGCTTGAGGCTGCGGTCCCTTCATCACACAAGGTTAGAAGAGCCAAGAGCAGTTCTGGCCTTGGGCCCAGCAGTGCCCCATCCTTGGCACAGGGGCAATGCCATCGAATGCCAGCAGGCTGTGCACAGGGAAGGATCTGCCTCCTATCTACACCCAGGAGGTGTGTTGGTAGCAAGACACATGTACTGAAAACATACATCAGATGCTGAACAGAGCTAGATGCCATCACTCTGGAGCCAGTGAGACAGTGCAAAAGAAGGCATCTTCACTTAGCTTCTGTCCACACTGAAACATGGGGTAGAGAGGAAGGGTAGAGGAAGGAGAGGCTGAGAAGTGAAAACGTCTATCCTGAAAGGGCTCAGCCATTGCCAGTGAAGGACAGAGGGAGGCCAGAGGCTCGGATCAGGTGTCCGCTGCTTCTGCAAACCACAAGAAGGAGAAAGGCAAAATCGCAAGAGATGCTCGCGGCATTGCCGCCTGCCTGCACTCCAAAAGATTTCAGTGCAGCCACCCAAGCAGACGGTGTGGAGCGGAGCACCGCGCTCACCAGAGGCAGGCAGGACAACCACCGGAGACTGACGAAGCCACAGGGCACCCAGAGGGTCCCGGGGCACCCGGCTCCCTGCGCACAAGCCGGGCAGACAACAGGAGGATCTCCGCAGAGCCACTGCAGAAGGTGATGTGCCACAACGGAAGGAAGCGCCCAGCCCCTCTGGACAGAGACAGCCGAGAAACTGCAACGTCAGTTCATGGCGCAACAGCCTGCAGATCCTCTGCAAAAGCAGATCGTAAGAGCTGAGAGCACATAAGAGAGCAAAGGGGGTAGCAGAAAGCCACTACAGTGGGTAAAGTATCAGGGTGGAACTAAGAAATGGGGAAGGAGTAACCAGTTGGACCCAGGAGGCAAGGCTGTTTGCACAGGAGGAAGAACAGTATGTGCTTTTAAAACAAAGCAAGCCAGGGAGATGGTAGGCACGTTAATGAACGTAGGCAGGGAAGGTGAAAAATTATGACACATGGAGGAGATTCTGGACTTGCTTTCGGAAAATGTTATCTTTCAACTAAAAATGTGGACAAGTCCAACCCCTTCACACACTGCAGGTGTGAGGGTCAGAGCTGCTGAACATGGATTTCACGTGAATTTACCCATCCCAATCCTGCACCTCCAAAACCAGAGGGAAGCACTGTCTTACCCCAGTGACATGCCTGCTCACGGTGCAGGTGACACGCTGACAGGCTTTAAACACCATGCACAAGATCTCTGCAGAGAGCCAGCTCTCCCCCTGTGCCAGCAGGGAACATGAGCAGGGAGACGCTGGGTTGCACATAAATCCCTCCCTCCACGTTCCTAATGACCACCCCGTCGCAGAGCTGCTCTTGGGTTTGCTCTCCTGACCCACAGCCTGCTGATTTCTGTCAGCTTTGGAGCAAGCCCTTCATGTAGCTGTTTCATGTCACGACCTGCTGGAAAACCATCTCCTTTCAGGGACAGAGCTGTCTGCTCCTGTTGTTTCCCTGCAGCCCTGTACTGCCGTGGCAAGCCACATGCCACAGGCTTTGCACCGAGTTTGCAAGGTCTCAGGAATGCAGCTTGTGATGCTTGCTCTGTCTGAGCTCTTCTTGACCTCCCTGCAGCCTTGTTTTACCTGGTTTAGCTGCAACAGC